ATTTTTGTAGTGTTTGATAGGCTAAATTTTTCCGGAAAAATATTTTCCAACTTTCCAAATTTTTCATCTTTTTGAGGAAAATAAATTCTTGATGTTTTTGTGGATAAATATTTTTCAGGTTTTTTTTTCTTTTTTTTTTTTTTTTGCAATTGAAAAAAATTCTAGATACAAAGGTTAAAAAAAAAAATTCACTTTCATTGATAATTTTCATGCAAAATAAAGCCAAACGAAAGGTATTCAGTATGATTATTATTTTGTTTAATTTTATTTTGGCAATTGGAACAAATTTGGTAGAAAATATTATCACTTTAATGGACAATTTTCACAAAAAAAGAAGCCAAACGGACGCCAAACTTTCAATATTTTCCATAGAATATTATACCAATCAAATACAATTATTTATAATTCTCAGTAAAACAATTTCCACGCAAATCAATTCTCTATAAAACATTTTATTTCCACCAATTTTTCACATTACCTTTACTAAATTTTAATGAAAATTGATGAAATGTATGGTTGAAAAATTATAGATCTTATGAAATATTTAATTAAAATAATTGTTAACTTTAACTTAATTTAAAATCTTGATTTTAACTCTACCAAAGGGGCTGAATCTTTTAGATCAAATTTAAGGAGCAAATTTATGTTCCGCAAGAACAGACCGTATAGCCGACAAGTGTACTGAATTTTCATATATATTTCAGGTTAGGTCTTTAGCCTTTATTTAATTAGGTAGATATACTTCTATTTGTATAATTGAATTGCCTAAATTATGTATTTGCTCTTATTTTTTATGTAACTCGTGTACATAGTCATGGAAACTAGTATGGGTCGAAACGGCCCATGACACGGGCCAGCACATGTGGCTCGATGAGCCACACGGGCCGAGCCGAGCCTCGGCTCTGTGGAACAGAGCCTGAGCCGGGCCCAGCTCTGTCTTTTTTACGGGTTGAGCCCAAGTCGATCGAGTCAACGAGTTTTTTTGTCATCCCTATGTGTACATAGGACGATGTGTGTCAAAGTGTTAATACTAAAGCTGGCTACAAAGGTACCAAGAATAATACAATGTACCACATTTGCCTACGTATGTAGAGACTAAATCTACGGAACATTAAGTCCATGTTCGGGCTCCATCCATGTGAAAATGTTTTTTTTTTTTTTTTCAATCACACATTTTTTAATAAAATAATATTGCATGTAAATTCAAATTTTTTCTTTATTTTTTAACTACAAATTCTCTAAAAAATCAAAATTCCAAAAAAATAATATTGCTTACACGTAATGGAATTACATAGTAATTTACCTACATATAAGTACGGATGTCAATGAGCCGAGCCGAATTGAAACTTGAAGCTCAAGCTCGGCTAGAGTAAAAATGGTTCGGACTTTTTTTAGCCCTAACCAAGTCGAACTTTTTCTTGGCCAAAAGATTTAGGCTCAACCCGAGCTTTCGATTCGGGCATTGTCAAGCCGAACCGAGCTAGCTCACAAATTTTTTTGAAAAAATTATGAAGCAGCTACACGCTTCCTGTAATTGGATTTTATTTTTTTTTTTTTTTTAATATTTTTAAGATTAGGCTCGTCACAAGCCAAAAATAACTCATGTGACTCGTCGAGTTAAGCAGGGTGGCCCGAGCTCGAGCTTTTCCTAAACCTAACCATTGGCCTCCCGAACTGTTGAGCGAAATTGACAACCCTACATATGAGAGTCAGAAAGAGAGTGGGTTTTTAGTTTTTTTTTTAAGAAATTCTGATGCAATTATATCTTATCACGTCATATGCATGTAAACCATTATGTACATGTAGCACAGCTGATTCCGAAATACATTTTTCTCCAAAATCTATTGATCCTAAAATGAGACTAAGTTAGAGATGCTTAAAATATAATAGAATTATAGACTACGAAGTATTAACGGCTTAAGAAAACACCAAAAGGTCTTGTGTTGTCTTCGTAGCTGGCATGGATCCCCTTTCAGTTAGGATTGCGGAACTCCCATTCATTCAATTGAACGTGGAATAACACTGGTGCTTATCAAAATGCCTCATTCAACAAGTATCATAATACTAATTTCCCATGTAGTCTCCGAGAAAGAAAATGGGAAAAATCGAGGACTAACGAAATCTCTATCCTAGTTAGTGGTGGCAATCAATCTGAGCAGCTCATCGGCTCTCCCGTTCAGCTCGTACTGTAGGCGAGCAGGTCGTCTTGTATTTTAAAAAAAATTAAAAACAAAATTCAGTGACCAGAATAGTAACTGAATTAAGTGATCAAAACGGTCACTGAATTTGAGACTTTTCAGTGACCGTTTTGGTCACTGAAAATTTTTTGTCGTTTTTTTTTTCATTTTTTCTCTATAAATACCCATCCCCTAATCAACATTTTTTCCCACCATTCCTCTCATTCTCTACTCTACTCTCTACAATTTACAAATTACCAACATTCAACA